TAGAGAGCCTGGAACGGGCATTTGGGGACTCGGGGGGCTGGGGCTGAGTCTGGTGGGACGAGGAGGGAATTGGGATGAGACTGGGTTGGAGAGGGTGGAGGGGACTGTGGTGGAGGACTAGGGGTGACTGAGACCGGACGGAGGGGGCCGAGGGCTAGGTCTGGGCAGGGGTTGAGGGGCTTGAGGAGAGGGTTGAGAGGTACAGGCGGACTGAGGCAGGGGTTGGGGTCTGCGAATGGGTTTTCAGGGGCTGAGTGGACTAGCTGGATAGGAGTCTTAGGATTGCCATTTCCAGGATGGGTTTGTGGGGGCTGAGGCTTTGTAGCTGAGCCCCAGCCTGAGAGGACTTTAGGATTGGGCAGCGTCTCTGAGGTGGTGGGAGGCACGAGGCCACGGATTTAGCCAGATTAAGATTTGAGGGGTCCGTGTATCTAAGAGTCCCCAAGAGTGTTGGAGGGGCCCTGTGGGGTCTGCTGTTCATTTGGAAGTGGCCCTAGCAGAGCCATCCCAGGTGGTTCTCCTTGGTCTGGTGGTGGGAGCAGGAATCCCTTTCTCCATAAAGTTGCCCATCTGTGAAAGCAGGGAATATGGGAATCTAGTATGGTGGCTTTGCCCCAGTGTCCTACCCTGCTGGGGCCAGTGAGAGTTCCTGGAGCTACTTTTTGGGGGGGGGGGGAGAAGATAAACCAGGGGTTGGGGGGCTAATAGCCAATCCCCACCTCTTTGATAGTTGAGGTCCTGCCCAGCCTCTGGAAGGATATGGCCACCCTCTTTCTGGTTTTGTCACTGGATCTTTTGTGGCATGGTTTGCTCTCCAGATTTGGATTTGCACTGTGTAGGTCTCTCTTTTTTCCAGCCTTTTTGGACTGTTTCTCTGAATGTCCCATCCTGTGGGTCTGGGTCTCCTCCAGGCAGGTGGACCCAGGCTGATCCCAGCTCTCCGCAGCCCATTTACCACTCCTACTTCTTTGTCTCCCAAGTCTGAGCCTTCCCACGCCTACATGGCTGAGCCTCTCACCCAGAAGCCTGAGTGGGGGCTTTTGGCTTTCTTTCCGAAGAGGGATTGTTCAGCACTGAGCCAAGCTTCCTTGAAAGGGGGCTTGTATGGAGGTTGCACATTCAAAATGACTGGAAAACCCTCAACAGATTATTGTCCTGAGCTACAGAGAGGCCACTGTAGTAAGATGGTATCAGTCTCTCCATTAATACACCCCTTGTATTCACGGGCTTTGTAACTTGGCACATAGAACGTTGCTCTGAGATGCAGTTTCCCTCATTTATGGTCTCCATGTGGCACTTTCCATTTTAGAGAATAGTAAGTGACAGAATCCATCTTTCTTGACTGAAAGAGTTTCACGTCTCTAAAGAAAGAAAATCTTTGCTTAGTTTTTCTGCTTTTTAGTTGCTGGGAGACCTTCTGTTGTATGTCAGCAGGTATCTTTCTAGTTTAATAATAAAATGACAGGTATATTTTTCTAATGTGTAATACCACCTACAAGTTATTTTGCTGTGTGACCATTCTGTTTCAGTAAGAACGGAATACTGTATTTAGATTGGTGTAGTTAGATTGTTTATATTCTACCTTAATAGAAATAAACTGCCTTTTAGTGGAGGGAAGATTGTAGAAAGTGTCAAGTAATTCTCCTGACTCCGAGGCTGTTAGGGACAGCATGACTTGTTTCCTCTACCCAAGAAACTGGAGATTATTACATAAAAGGAAAGGTAAATTAATCTAGCAGAACTTTGTTGGTTGCTTTTTTTTTTTTTTTGTAAAGGTGACCGTCTTACCAGAGTATCCTATACAAATACTGAGGAGTCACCGACTGCCCTTGATTAGACCACATAATTCAAGTTAACTTACTCAGCAGTAGTTTGTTCTTCAGGGTGTAGTGCTTTTAAAACAAGGAAACTGATCTAGAAGACCAAAATACTTTAGCCAAGCAGCTCACCTAGCTACAGTCACACTTAGCAAATCCTGTTCCCCTGGTCACATGTGGCATGTTTCTGTGGGAACGGGTATAACATGAATAACTAAAATTTTGGCCATGGTACTTTGACTCAGCTGTTAATGTCATGCATTGGTTTATTGGCTTATTTCGGGGTGGTTGTGAGACACAGAAGAAAATACTCTGTAAACTGTCCTCTCTTGACCAAAAGGGAACTTAGAGACTTTGGAATCAAATACTCCAGGCTGGACTTGGCCACTTGCCAGCTGTGTGATTTCAGGCAAGTTAATCCACCTCTCTGAGCATCTGTTGAAGGCTGATAGACTAGAGTCGATGTGGGGATTATGTGAGATAGTGCATGTTAACACAGCATATAGTTAGTGCTCAATCAAGACTAATTGCAGTTACTAATAACCAGCTAATTCATTGTTTTTTAGAAAGGTACTGACAGCCATTAACAGCAGGTCATCCTGACAAGTTAATAGAATCTTATTTCAAGAATATTAAGTAAATTTTTATTTGCCATTAGCTTAAGAAACCTCTTACCTTTTTATGGTCAAAACGATTAATTGTCTCAGGTCTAGGATGAGACCGTAAATGCAACAGGCCTTTTCCAGCATAGAATCTCTTAATCTGAACCAAAGGCTTTTTTTTTTTCTTTTTTAATTGGCAGAAGGAAGTGTTTTAAATTGTAGAGTAAGATTTCTTCAAGCCTTGAGGGGATGTTTTGTGGCAGAAAGCGTGGCTAGGTTTTGAAGGCATTCGCTGTTAGGTTTGAATACAGCTGTGCATTATACTTCACTTACATTGTTTTAATTGTGGTGTGTGAGCTTTAGCGCAGCTCAAGACATTAAAATCATGTTGAAGCTATAGACGGTCTCATTTTCAGTGCCTGTGTGTTTATCTTTTCCTGTTCCTCCTGTCCATTATGCAGTTCCCTAAATGTAGTACCATCCCCAGTGATCTTTGCTCTTTCCTTTCCTGTGGGCTGTCGTTTCATATGCACACATTTTATTTTTATTTAAAGTTATTTTTACATGGCAATGGAATGTGCCTTTCTCTCTTCGTCCACATTAACCCCATTGGACTTACAGGGCACTCCCTTAAAAGGAACTGTCGCTTAGGGGATTAGGCAGCTAACCCACACCTCTTGGGTCATGTCTCCCAGTGCGCTTTCTGAGGAAATGTTGATTGATTGGTTGATGTTAACTAATAATTCCACCTCACTAAGGTTCAAATTCAGGACCTGTGTTCCTTTGGCAAGTGAAAATGCCCACATGCAAAAACGCTGAGGGTCTGAGAAACCGAAAACCGATCGTTCTGTGGAAAGAGTCTGGTCTGGGAGAAGCTGTTTCCCTAAGGCGTGTTCTGGTGTGATTTGTGTGGGGCTGCAGGGCTACTGCATGAATCATAACGGCTCATTGAAATGTCCTGACCTTGCTTTAAACCCAGGGACTGTTTCCTCAACATGGCACTGAGCTCTGGTGGGACTGGTTTTTGGAAGTTAGGATTTAAACTCTTGGAGTGTCTGCTACGGAGTTTCTGTTCTCGTTGTGCAGGCATTGTGTATACAAAGGCTTCAACTTTTATGTTTGAGTCTTCTCTTCCATGGACTTATTATTTTAACTCTTGAGTAAAAAATTACTGTGCCTGAGAATATTTTCTGAAATTCAATTTTTTTTTTTAAAGGAGGCATTAAGATTTTGAGGAGGAGCGCCTGGGTGGCTCAGTCGGTTAAGTGTCTGCCTTCGGCTCAGGTCATGGTCCCAGGGTCCTGAGATCGACACCCCCCACCAGGACTCCCTGTTCAGCGGGGCGCCTTCTTCTCCCTCTGCCCCTCCCCCCCACTTGTGCACACCCTCTCTTTCTGAAATAAATAAAATCTTAAAGTTTTTGTGGAAAGGGGCGCCTGGCTGGCTCAGTCGGTGAAGCATAGGACTTTTGATCTCAGGGTCGTGAGTTCAAGCCCCACTTTGGGGGGTGGAGCTTACCAAAAAAAAAAAAAGATTTCATGGAAAGCGCATAGCTGAGAGTCGTGCGTCCTCCTTTCAGTTACTTAACCTCTCTGTGCTTCGGTTCCTCCACCGTGAAGTGAGGGTGGTAACTGTGCAGGTTTTGTGAGGCCCAGTGCAGTAGCAGATGAAGGCAGTACTTGGCACCGGGGGGCTTCCGTAGAGGCCAGCCTCCGTGCTTGCTTAGGAGATTTTCAGAATTGTTAGACTGGCTGGCTTGGGTGAAATCCGACCGCTTATGGAATTGCTCTCTACTTCTTTCGCATAGATTAAAAGTGCAGTGGGAGTGGTGTAGTGCAGAACCGACCTTTGGCAAGTATTGTCTTCCCGAGGGGAGTTTCCTCGTTGCAAATAAAGGGGATGACAACGGTAACCTACTTCATCGGGTTGGCTGGGTGGATTAAATGAGCGTATAAGATGCTTAGCATGGCACCTAGCACCGTGAGCACTCAGGAAATTATCAGCTGTTATTGCTAAAACGAAAAAGGCTACATATCCTTGCTGCTATTTCAAGAAGATTCCACTTCAGTTCCACAGCTGTGGGGCACTAACTGCGTGCGAGGCATTTTAAGGATGGAAACATGAATAGGGCATAATCCCCGTATTATGATTGGGGAAGAAACCAAGTACGCAGACATTTACAGTGCCAGAGAGAATAAGAGGTAGGGAGTTTCAGTTTGGAAAGATGAACGTGATGAGGATGGATGGTGGTGGTGGCTGCCCAGCCCAACAGTGTGAATGTACTTAAAAGTGGCACTTGAAAGTGGCTAAAATGGTATAGTTTATATTTTATCACAATTTTTTAAAAACAGAGACTAAGGGCGCCTGGGTGGCTCAGTTGGTTAAGCGACTGCCTTCGGCTCAGGTCATGATCCTGGAGTCCCGGGATCAAGTCCCGCATCGGGCTCCCTGCTCGTCAGGGAGTCTGCTTCTCCCTCTGACCCTCCTCCATCTCATGCTGTCTGTCTCTCATTCTCTCTCTCAAATAAATAAAATCTTAAAAAAAAAAAAAAAAAAGACTAAGAAGAAGAGCCACATGTGAATTGTAAATGATATTGAAGGTCCGATGAAGAGGTTCTCTGGCTAGAGCAGTTAGATCCCTAGTGCAAGAGATAGACTTTGGTAGGTGGGTAAGATTTAAGAAAATAAATGCTCAAATACAATAATACCTCTGCGAGGGTCTAGAATAATGTGAGGAGTATCTGTGCACCTGCCAACCAGCTTAGGAAGTAAACACTGCCTACCCAGTGAAAAGCCCTCTTTGTGCTCCATCCTGAGCATGACACCCCACTCCACCCCCAGCCATGGTCTTGAATTAGATATTTATTTCTCTAAGTAGGGTTTTGAGAGAGAAACATGGGGAATCAGGAGGAAGGGACAGCAAGAGCACAGGCCCAGAGCAGGAAAGCACGGGACAGGCTTTATGAGTGGTGAGTTGCCATCTCCTTTGCCAGATCAGATCTGCCCGTGAGTAGGGGAATGACCGAGGGCCAGAGCGGGCAGAGTGCCAGCGAGTGAGTGGAAGGCGGGTAATTTGGTAGCAGTGAGTTTCCACGACTTTTTGGAGCAGAAGAGCACTACGATCAGAAGTACACTTTAGGAGGTTAACTTGGCAGCAGAGTATGGGCTGGGTGAGTGCGGGAAGGTTCAGGAAAGGCCAGGGTGGAAGTGCAGTGGTAAGAAGAAACCAGGGTTTGAGCTGGGGTTCTGGGAGAGGGGACGCCAACCTCACCAGCTTTGCCTTCCACATGCTCCCCCACCCCCTCAGTCACAGACCCATGGTCTCTTCACTCCTTTGTATACCTCTTCCGTGGCACTTGTCACATGTTTTGTAAGTCACATTTACTTCCTCGTGTCCCTGGCTAGTCCAGGGGCTCCATTTTGTCCTGTGTGTCTTTGTGGCCTTGGCATGTAGGTGCTGCTGGGTGAGTGGCGCTAACTGGCTGCAGGTGGAAATGAGTAAGGGGGGCGGGGGGAGGCTCCCTGAGACCCTGCAGCCCGAGAGTGCGGGGCAGGGAGGACCGTTGTGTGGCACCTCCGGCAGCAGTTGGAAATACGGCTCTAGAGCTTGGGAACAGTCAGCCGAGACACAGATTTCGGGGCCCACTTCCTTCAGGAAGAATCTAGAAGTTTGAAAGGCCAGCAGGAGTAACTAGCGGGGCTGGGAGAAGCACAGGGAGAAAGGAGTCTGGTGTTCTATAGACAAGCCCACATCCTGTTGTAGGGTTTGTCCCGACCGTATCAGACTAGCCGAAAGAGGAACCTGAACTGTTCGAACCTCATCTGTCATGCAGAACTGATGTGCTCTTGAGCTAAGCCAACTTTGTTTGTAGACGACCCTGACTTACGCTGGTTCAACCTAACGACTGTTGGACTTGACGAGGGTGTGAAAGCGGTGTGCATTCCGTAGGTAGCGTACTTGGAATTTTGAATTTGTCTGGCCGCGGGCTCACGATCTGCGGTCCCACCCTCCCATGACGCTGAGCAGTGGCCGCAGCTCCCCACGTGATCATGAGGTTCAGCAACCAGTATGCTGACCGCCACCTGTGCCCCCACGGCCGTTCTGTTTGTCACTCTCAGTGCGGTAGTGAGGAGATGACATGGGTCGTCAGCGCTCCGTCATAAACTAGGCTTTGTGTTGGGGCGCCTGTTTGGCCCAGTCGGTAGGGCACGCGATGCTTGGTCTCAGGGTTGTGAGTTCAAGCCCCATGAGTGGCACCTCGAGGGTCTGTTCCTGTCCGGTGCCCGGTCCCTGGTGGCAGAGGGACCGAGTAAGCGCTGACTAATGCTTGCCATCGGACAGCAGCTTTCGTCAGTGTGAACACAGCTGAGGCCGAGCCACTTTATTCATTACCAGCCTTTATGGAGCACCTTGGGGATGGGAAGCCACGAAGTCACTTCGCTTTCCTCTTTTAGGATTTCGCAGGTGTACAGAAGTCAGTCTTCACAAATATTGGATGTGCGAAACAGTAGTGATGGGGACACTGGTGGGAGGGGACCCAACAGGCCTCTGTGGGGCTCGGGGAGATGCGCAGAGAATGTTTCCTGGAGGAGAGAGGACTCAGGAGCTGCGCTTCAAAGGAAGAGTTAACCAGGTAATGAGGGAGAGGGCCTTCCAGGCATGGGGGTGGACAGCGGAACAGCCGGAGGAAAAACCTAGAGAGGGGTGCACAACAGGAATATTCAGCCTCGCTGGAGGGACGGAAAGAGGCCAGAGAGGCGGCGAGACCAGATGGCTTGATCCTCTTGGCAGAGGGAGCCACGGGAGTGCTGTGGTCACAGTTGTGACTTAAATGGACGGTTTGGGCAGCCCCGTGGGTGGGGGTGGATTTGAGGGGATAAGACCAGAAAGCAGGGAGATCAGCTGGAAGGCCGAAGGATGGTTGATAACAAAGACCTTCGGGGCAGCCCCAAATCACTGACTCGAGGGCTCACACCAGGCTCCTCGCAGGCCTGGGAGTCTTGTTTTGTACCCAATTCAAATAGGAACACACTCGGTCATATGGTTTGTCTGTCAGAGGCAGATTTTTGAAGGGTATAAGGGAAAAACTAACAGCCACTCACACCATCTGGAAATAAATGATAAAGAGGAGGCAAAAGTTATAAAAAGCCTCTCAAAAAACGTAAGGTCGGTTCTTAAGCATAGTGGTGAAAGATGGGATTTGGGTTGCTAGGAAACCCTGGGCACCGTTAACCTCCCTAAATGTCCGTTCCCTCGTCTTTAAAACGGGTGCGTTAGAACAGTGGCCTTACGAGGCGTCAGGAGGATCAACCATGAAGATGTTTGTAAGCTGCTGAGCTCGGGCTGTGGCAGGACTGAGTGCCCGGTAGATGGAGACCGTGGCCGGTTTAATAAGGTGCTGGGGCTGTTTGCTTCAGGGTAGCATTTCCCTTAGCCGTCCTTGGGGCGCTAACTCTGTGCATGTCAGTGGTGGTTACATGAAAAGGAGTTCCATGGTAAATAAATTTGGGAAACCAGTGTTAAAAGGTTTTGCTTTGCTTTGTTTGGTACTTACTACCAGGGTGTGTGGTGAAGCTCTGGAGGGGCAGACGTTGCTGTGTTTCCCAAACTTACTTGATCATGGAACTCATGGGACTGCTTCCCTGGGGCATGCTTTGGCAAGTGCTTATTTAGGGGATAATGTGCCATCTGCTTCCAGCGCCCGTGGGTCAGCTGTTTCACAAACGGTCCCGTAGTTACTTGATATTCATGGCGCCCCTCTGTGTCCTCAGTGGCTGGTCTCCTTTCACATACTCTGTTGAAGAACGCAGGCAGTATATGGTATTTTATTTTATTTGTTTTGAGTATATAGTATTTCAAATTTCTGATTCCAATTGATCAAATCTTTAAAAATTTATTATAGAAAAATTTAAAAATATAGAAAATTATAAAGAAAAACATCACATGTAATACCACCACCCAGAGAGAAAAGGAATACTGTTAACATTTTATATTGCTTTTTGTTGTTGTTGTTTTTCCCCCACTGGGATCATTCTGTATAGAGAGTTTTTTGTTTGCTGTGTGTGTGTGTGTGTGTTTTAACCTAAAGTTATACTCTGGTCATTTTCTTATTTTTTATCAGAATATTATAATAGGACAGTGTTTTGGGTTTTTGGTTTTTTTTTTTTTTAAAGATTTTATTTGAGAGAGTGAGCAAGCTCGAGAGCGTGCACATGCATGCGATCCCAGGACCCTGAGATCATGGCCAGAGCCAAAGTTAGACGCTCCACTGACTGAGCCACCCAGGTGCCCCATGCAGTTTAGTGGCTGCATGATACTTGATCATGTGGTTATGTCCTAATTTATGTAATCATTCCCTTTTTGGATATTTAGGTGCTTTTTTTGCTACCATTATGTTGTGATTAACATCTTTGAACATAAATCTTAATCATTTTTTTAAAAATTGATATTTTAAGTCTTAAGTAGGCAGTTTTTAGTTAGAACATCAAATTCCCTACATCAAATAAAATTGTAGGTATTTTTTGTTACGAAATTTAAATAGAGGGGCGCCTGGGTGGCTCAGTCCTTAAGCGTCTGCCTTCGGCTCAGGTAATGATCCCAGGGTCCTGGGATCGAGCCCTGTGTCGGGCTCCCTGCTCAGCAGGAAGCCTGCTTCTCCCTCTCCCAGTCCCCCTGCTTGTGTTCCCTCTTCTCTGTGTCTCTCTCTGTCAAATAAATTAAAAAAAAAAAAAATTTAAGTAGAATTTCTGGGTAACTGATTCTTCTTTGACTAATCCCTTTCTCTACCCCTGGACTAAAGAAATCCCACAATTAGAATAGCATTTTCTCATACTGAATAGAAGATGAATAATTTCAGTCATGTGAGAGTAAATTTTATCCACTAAACTGAATTCTTGACTCAGGTGTTGGAAAATTTATATCATGATGTATTTTAAGTGTAAAAGCAAAATTGTCAAAAGATTGTAGTCTTAATACACGTAAGCCAGGATCCACCTGGTTAGGCATTTTTGTATTTGCACTTGTGTAAAGACTGTCCCAGAAAATTCTCATACATTCATTTCTTGTAAATTGTGGTTAAAAGGAAATAGAGAAAAAGCAAAAAACCCTTCAGCTCTTACTAAACAAATGATTGCTTTGGTGGTTTGTCCTGGTCAGAAACTGCTAATAAGAAAAGCAGAATTTATAGGGTGCCTGGGTGGCTCAGTTGGTTAAGCGTCTGCCTTTGGCTCTGCCCTGGTCATGATCCCAGGGTCCTGGGCCCACACATCAGGCTCCCTGCTCAGCGGGGAGCCTGCTTCTCCCTCTCCCTCTGCATGTCACTCTCCCTGCTTGTGCTCTCTCTCTTTCTCTGTCAAATAAATAAATAAAATCTTTAAGAAAAAAAAAAGGCAGAATTTAGAAGTTCTGTCTTCCATAGGCTTTCTTTTGGGGAAGGGAGAAGTAATCTGGATTTAAAATTACAGTAGGAGCTATTAATTGACCTCCCTCCACTTAACCAGAGTGTTCCAGTAATTGGCATTTCCCACCATCAGATATAGTGGTTAATGCCCCCCCTCCCCATGATCATGATCAGGTATCTGGATATTTCTGCTCCCACACTGCAGTTGTATACTTAGAGTTGAGAACCTGTCCATTCTGGTTTTCTTACAGTAATTATTTCGCTAAGTACTGTGGCAGCTGGTGAGCCATGAGTGAAAAGACAAGGAGAGAAATTGGAGCTGAGTGCTTTGAAGAGTTAATAGAAGGTGGTGCCCTAGAAACAAACTTGCTAGTGAATTTGGTTATGGACCAGGCTGCGGGAGAACGGAATTCCAGGATTCTGCACTCCTCACACATCTAGTCTTAAACCCTCCACATCAAAGGATGTGGTCTGGATGAAAAAACTTCTGGAACTCGAGCTAGTGGAACCTTTCTCTTGGAAAAGACCTTTGGCCTTGAATGAAGAAATGGACAGATGTATATCTTCAAAATTTTGTGTGTTTAGCGATTTACGGCTTTAACGAAACTGCCCAGCTGACCAGCAGCTAATTGGTTCTGATAATATGGACTGAGGGCTTCTTGATGGCTTCCCTGGCTCACCTGCCAACGATGACTTGGTAGGTCAGAGTGTGACAAGCCCCTTGCCTTTAGGAGACAGGGACAAAGGCAGTTAACATTGTGATCAGTTTGGTGTTCCTGTCCTGCCTTCTGTTCCTCCCTCCCCCCAGAGTACTCAGGAATTATAAGGTCAGTGATACTAGGAAAGTAACATTTTCTAGCATGTGACAAGTTATCAGAACCAGTCACACCTATTATATTTCTTTCTTATTGACATCATTATCCATATAAGTCTAGGAAGTAGGGCGATCACCTACCCCTGTGAATGTTAGGAAGTAAGTCTTCTAGGAAAACAAAAGCACCCTGGTGTGTTGAACCTGCCAGAACTAGAAAGCTAATTCTTCTCTGGGACTAGGCCATTTATTTTCAGACCTAGCTTTTTGCATTTCTACGGTTAGTTGCACGTAAAGTGAATAACATACTAATTAAGATGCGAGCCAGCTCCATAGGGAAGGGATCATTCCAGTCTCCGTCCCGTTGCCTGCTACTCTGAGGGCAGCAAGTTTCCTCTCAACAAGGATTTTGACATCTCCACTCAAAAATAGCAGTCTTTATTAATCTAATATGTTCGCTCTGTTGAGTGGGTTGTTTTGGTGGAACATTAGCTAAGCAGCCGGTAAATTTTCTCTCCCGAGTAGGCTGTAGCCTTGGAGATGGTTTCACACAACCCACCAGGTGGTTGTATTTTAGGACAGTTTCATAATGTTCTACAGTTCTTTCACTGTATTTTTGAGTTTTCAGATCTTTAATTTTTGTTAACATGTTTAACAGTCCAACTCTGTTAAGTTTTTTCACTTTTTTTTTTAAGATTGATTGATTGATTTGACAGAGACACAGCGAGAGAGGGAACACAAGCAGGGGGAGTGGGAGAGGGAGAAGCAGGCTTCCCGCGGAGCAGGGAGCCCGATGGGGGGCTCGATCCCAGGACCCTGGGACCATGACCTGAGCCGAAGGCAGACGCTTGACCATCTGAGCCACCCAGGTGCCCCTAGTTCTTTCACTTTTGGATTGAATTAAGCCACGTTTGTAGTACACCTCCGGGATATTGTGGGCTTGGATTACAGGCTCCACTGAAAGCCTGAATTTAGTTGGAAGACTGGAGAGGGGGAATTTGTCACTGGCAAGGTCTTCACTGAATGGAAGATGAATTTGGGCTTTCTAATAACCTAAGCTTTAACAGGAAAGCCCACACTCAAATTGCATGTGATCTTGGTGATATTTACCCTAAGATTAATTGGTGAGCTAGATCAAGTGTAGTACAATAAAAGGAGAGATTAACCTGGCTGAACGCATGCCAACCTTTTGGTCACCTGATCCATAAGCTTGGTGTATTTAGAGTCTCAATGCAACCTAACGTTTTCTACTGGTAGGGAAGTACAAAAGCTAAGATTTAATTTATGCCTCATCTTTATATTATGGATAGCTTTCAATTTAATTTTATCTAGAGAGGAAAATAGAAAAATAAAAATGAATTTCCCACCAAAAGGAGCCAGTATTTCTTCGAGAAGGGCTGGTGCAGATCGGGGGCAGCAAATG